ACTCGAAGTAATTTATCAAGCAGCCTATTTCTTTTAATTTCTGGAAACTTTTTTGTTTTTGTCTTGGTTTTATGTAATTTTAGAAGGCTACGGGACGTATCCCTACTCTTTCAAGGCAAGTAATGTCTTTTTTATGCAATTTTTTTAAGCGCTTTTCTTGGAACGTATCCACCGCATTAAATGAGACCTTACTGTACTAAGTTTTACTTTTTTTATGCGGGACAGTCGGACATGAGATAAACATTACGTAGTGAAAAATTGGTCACAGAGAAAACTTTTAACACCTGGAGTAAAAACCTAATCACAAAAACCTGTAGTGTCACTAGACAAATTTGTCCTGCCACCACTTCACATAAAGCTGGAACCCATGAAAAATTTGATAAAAGCTATGAACAAAAATGGTAATGGCAGTATCTTAAAACTAAATTTCCTCAAATCAGTGACGCAAGTTGAAAGCAGGAATGCTTGCTTCTTCGTAATTAAATTGACAAATAAAAATAAACAAAGACAATGAAATATTGTATACCGTCAAAGTGAGAACACTTCAATATTTGGGACATATAACCCGCGGTGTATCTTCTGCTTTTAAATGAGCTTTCTTCCGAGTTCTATCTATACTAGTTCCAGTGGATGTGAATACACTAATAAAAACAAGGAAAAAATTGTACTAAAACATTATATTTATAGTGAAGTTTTAAATTATTTGGACAAATTAAACTATAATAAGTCTAATTAATATTTAATCAATGCGGTTGTTAAATAGAATATTAAATAAAAGGATGAAAACTTCCTTATTCATTTATATAACGTTTTATATAATCAGGGACACAAATCGAAAGTAAGAATAAAAATTTCTAAGAACATAATTATGTATTTGATTGATTACGATTAATATATTCAGCATTTCTATAATTGGCTATTACTTCTCAATGTTACCAGTTCAAAATAGAGTTTGGTTAATGTTATACCGAGTATTAACAATATAGTGGTTTCGTTTACTATAAATTTAATCAGGTATTCCATACCCTTTCCCTGCTCCATGCTAAAATTATCGATGTACTTTTTTCGAGGATTAAAGCTACCATATTCTGTTATCAAAAACTAGCCAACAATGAACAAGAAAACGGAAGGCTATAAAATACCTGGTGAATGCGAAAACTTTTATTTGAGGGAAACTATAAAACCACCAAATGTGAAGATAGAGATTAACATAACTGCTCCATTAGAAATAGAAATTTTAATAAATCTCATATATGTAAACATACATGGGAAAAACAAATATAGAGTCCAATGAAAAGATTCTTGTTCTACCTTTATATAAGCAATTTTGCTTGTTCATTGGCGAGTTGCTTTTTGCTCTCTCTATCTCTTTATTATACAAAAGATGTCTTACATTTACATGTTTAAGGCTCACTCTGTCAAATGATCTCTGTAAGTCGCTCAAGAATATGTCTCTATGTCATGTCTCTTGTCTTGAAATGCTTTCTCTGTAATCTGCTTTATGGCAATATTGTATCTGTATCTATGACTTTCCCGTAGGATCTGTAATGGGCTGTTCTTGCAAAATTTTTGTTATCTTCTCTTCTTCTTGTAGTGTCTCTCCGTTTCGGATGCTGGTGACCATCATGGAAATCTGTATTTTGCAAACTGCTGTTCTGAAAAGATTTGTGGTTGTTGTGTTGAACCACGTACGTAGATTTTTCAGCCAGGATATCATTCCTTCTTGGTCCTCGTTTTTCTTCTACTTTTCCTTGTAGAACTAATTGCAGCAAACTATATCTTTCGCTGGTCCTGATGATTTGACCGAGATATTCGATTTTGGCTGTTTTTATTGTAATTAACAACTCTTTTCTTTTTTGCATTCTTAATAAAACGTCCTGATTAGTAACGTGGTCGGTATAGGATACCTTCAGGATTCGACGATATTCGAAGGCCTCCATTTTCTTGCAAGTAGCGTCTGTGTATCCTCCGTACAACAGAATAGGAAAGATTTAACATTGTAGTAACCTGACTTTTATGGGTCAGGTATATAAATCATGGCATTTGAATAGCTTAGCCATTTTTTGAAATGCAGATCTTGCTTTCTATATCCTACATTTGATTTCTAGGGAAGGTCCTAATTTTCATTGACGTTCGAAACGAGGTAAGTGTATGTTTTTACTCTTTCTATTGGTTAACCATTCACACTGATTCTTTCAATTTGCTGTTCCTTCTTAGAGATCATCATCCATTTTGTTTTTTAATGTTCACTTAAAGTCCATATCTCTGACACACTTCTATGATTCTATTCGCTAACTCCTGGAGGACCTCATAACTGTCAGCGTATACCACCGTGTCATCTACTTATCTGATGTTATTGATATATTCTCCGTTAATTTGACTTCGGGCTTCAACATCCTCTACTGCTTCTTGACAAATTTCTTCAGAGTACATGTTGACAAGCATTGTGGTAATATACATCTCTCTCGGACCCCACGTTTGATTTAGATATCATCGGATTCTCCTGCCTTTGTTCGGATAGACGATGTTTGATTCCAGTAAAGATTACTATTAATTCTTAGATCACAGCTGTTTATTCTAATATTTGTTAATCTCTCTATCAGCTTGTCGTGTTTTACTGTATCGAACGCTTTATGGTAATCGTAAACGCATGAAGAATGCATATATATATATATATATATATATATATATATATATATATATATATATATATATATATATATAGTTCAGCTCAACAGGACTCAAAGGCCCAAGGCTTCAACGGTTTTTTTCCATTTCTTTCTATCTTGTGCTAAGTTTTTCCAATCTTGTACCCGCAGCGACTTCAGATCTTCTTTTGCCGACTCCAGCCATTTTCTTCGGGGCGGCCTCTTTTTCTTTTTGTACCAGCCTCCGTGTTTATTAATTCATTGGGAACTCTTCCTTCCTTCATTCTTGCTATATGCCCGAGCCATCTTAATCTTTGAATTTTCGCGAGTCTTGTTATTTTTGGTTGCCCATATATTTGCATTATTTCTTCATTCGTTCTTCTTCGCCAGATGTTCCCCTCTTTTACACCTCCGTATATCCTTCTAAGAATTTTTCGTTCCCATCTATCTAATTTTACTTCCATATCTTTATTTAGTGTCCAGGTCTCGCTAGCATAGAGTACTGTAGGTCGGATAACTGTTGTATATATTCGTTTTTTTGCTGTTCTGGATATTATCTTCGACCTCAGTATCTTAGTCAGGCTCCCAGCACTCTTACTACCTTTGGCCATTCTTTTTATGATTTCTTGGTTCTCTTCGTTCCTATTTGTTAGTGTCACTCCCAAGTAGTCGAATTGGCTAACAACTTCAAAGTTATATTCTTTACTTGGGCTTTGTACCTTAAAGGACTCTCCTAGATGATTTTCGTTTCCCCTCATCACCATATATTTTGTTTTTTCTTCGTTTATTTCTAAACCATATTCTCTGGCTATTCTCTCTATTCTAATAAAGATTTCTCTTAATTCTGCAGGTCTCCTTGTTATTAAGGTAACATCATCTGCATATGCTACACATTGATGCCTGTGATGATATATTGTGCCTCTAGTGTAGATGTTACATTCTCGTAAAATCTTCTCTAAGATCAAATTGAAAAAATCTGTTGATAACGGATCACCTTGTCGCAGACCTCTATTGGTGATAAAACTATCCGAAACCCGTCCTTCTAACATGACTTTACTTTTAGTATCATTGAGTATGCATTTAGTCAGTCTTACTATTTTTGGTGGAAATTCAAAATATTCTAGTGCTTCATATACTTTATTTCTTTTTATAGTATCATATGCCTGTCTAAAATCAATAAACAGCATGTGTACTGTTAGGTTGAATTCATATGAGCTAGCTAAAATTTGTTTCATTGTAAAAATTTGGTCAGTTACCGATCTGTTTGCTCTGAAACCTGCTTGATATTCACCTAGACAATTTTCAACTTTTGTTTTAATTTTATTTCTAATTGATATGGCCAAATCTTATACACTGTATCTTGTAGAGCTATTCCCCTGTAATTTTTACATTCTGTAACGTCTCCTTTTTTATGCACTGGACATAAGACTGCTTCTTTCCACTGATTGGGTATTTTTTCTTTGATCCACACTTCGCGTATTAACTCAGCGATTTCTTCTTGTACCATTTCGCCACCTTCTTTTAAAAACTCAGCAATGATACCATTTTCACCAGGTGCTTTGTTGTTTTTTAAGTTTTTTATGATCTCTATAATTTCTTCCTTGGTAGGTACTTCTTCATTTACATCTGTGTCCCTTACTTCTTCATGTTGTAGTTGCGTTTGTTCTCTTTCATCTTGGTCGTCCGTACATAATAATATGTTCTCAAAATAACTGGCCCACCTTCTTAATTTTTCATCTGTTCCACCTAACAGATTCCCCTCTTCATCTTTATAATATCTTGATGTGGTTTTGTACTGGGTTCGGTCTCGTTTTATTTCTTGGTAGAAATTCCTGACTTGTTTATGTAAAAAATCTTCTTCAATACGAACTAGTTTCTGCTCTAAACTTGAACGCTTCTTCCTTCTACAGATCTTCTTTGCTTCCCGTCTTTTTTCGGCATAAGCTTTTTTACTCTCTTCATTATTTCTTATTATGCTATTTATTCTAGCTTTATTTCTGTCACTAATGGCTTTCTTACAATCCTCATCATACCAATCCGTTTGTTTACATTGTCTGTTTCTTGATAATACTGAGTCGGCTGCTTCTTGAATTTTTTCTTCTAGTTGTACCCATCTGCTTTCTATATCATTTACTGTTGTCTGGCTTTTCAGTTTCTCTTCACACTATGTTTTTAACCAATTTTCTTTGCCCTTTTGTATCTCGGTTTTTATTTGTCTCGGTATATTTTTGTACATTCTTTTGTTATTCTTTGATTTTCTTCTTTCTTCTATAAGTTGCAATATTTATTCATCATTCGTCATTCATCTAACTTTTCCTCTTCTCTTTATTTTCTACTAGATGTTCTTCTCTGATCTTGTTAAATGTTTCACATATATTCTGGAGTGATTCTTCTGATTCTGATTATATGCTAGCAAATAAGAGGTATAGGAACAGCTGTACATCTGTCAAAACATACCCGGGGGCAGACATAAATTCCGATCATGTACCAGTTGTAGGTAATTTCAAAGTCAGAATGAACAAGGTTACAAGTAAGTCGATAAAGAAATATGATGTTAGAAAACTGAAAGATCCCAATGTTCGACTGAAGGTGAGTGAAAACCTCAATACAAAGGTGCTAAAATGCAAAAATACAAGAAGTATAGAGGAAAGTATAACCATCATACAAGAAACAGTAAGAGAGATACAAGAACAACACCTGAAGAAAGATACAGTGAAACGGAAATCGTGGATGACCGATGAAATACTTGAACTCATGGATCAGAGAATAAAAACAGAGAAAATCTCCAAGAATATAAGAGAATACATACCATCATCAGAAGAAAAATAAGAGACGATAAAGAGAAACAAAAAACAGAACAATGTCAAGAAATAGAGGAGTATCAGAGTAGATATAATAAGTTCAATGTTCTTCGAAAGGTGAAGGAAATAGCTGAAAAGTTCCGAAAAAGAAACAGCGGAAAAATTACAGATGGTGAAGGCAATCTTGCCATAACCAGGAAGATAAGAAGAAAGTATGGGAAGAATATTTGGAAAAGCTCTTCTATGACATTATGACATTAGAACAATACAAGACCTTCTGCAATTCTTGCAGAACTGTTAAAGCTATTAGATGAAAAACAAATAAATATAGTAACTGAACTAATTAATGAATTATACAAGACAGGAAAAATACCAGTAGATTGGCTCAAACGGAGTTCGTACCATTGCCCAAAAAGCCAGGAGCAAATGTTTGTGAAGATAATAGGACCATAAGCCGAATGAGCCATCTGATGAAGCTGTTTTTAAAAGTCATCCACAAAAGAATTTACCAGAAATGCGAGGAACAAATTGCGCCCAATTTGTTTGGATTTGTGAACGCCGTTGGTACGAGGGAAGGTTTATTTAGCGTGCAGATATTGTTTCAGAAATGTAGAGACGTCAGCTGTAATGTTTTGCATACCTGATTGACTACAAGAAGGCTTTCGATAGAGTCAGACATGAATAAATTATGTAAGTGCTAAAGAGCACAGAGATTGACGGAAAAGACTTAAAAATAATAGCTAATCTGTATTGGAATCAATTAGCGGTACTCCAAATAGATGGAGAATGTACAGATCAGGTTAATATTTAAGAAAAGTGAGACAGGGGTGCATAATTTTACCACTGATAAAAGATATTGATAAAGGTATCTCAATAAATGGAGTCAACTCAATAACCTGCGGTATGCAGATTATACAACAGTGTTTTCCAATACCATAGAAGGGCTAAAGTGTTTTCCAATACCATAGAAGGAACAAAATAACGGAAACAAGTAGAAAATATGGACTGGATATAAAACACCAGTAATACCAAGCTAATGATCATCAGCAAGGAAAACATAACTGGAGCAAATCTGTATGTGAACCAAATGAGAATTGAACGAGTCTCACAATACAACTACTTGGGAACTATAATCAATGAGTCGTGAGACAATACCCAAGAGATTAAATATCGCATCGGAAAGGCAAAGAGTGCATTCTTGACTATAAGTTCTGTGTTCAAGAGCCATGACCTTACCCTAGAAATAAAAATAAGGCTCCTTAAATGTTATGCGTACCCAGTGTTTCTGTATGGAGTAGAAACTTGGACATTGAAGGCGGAAACTCTATATCAAAACTTCAGGATTTTGAGCTATGATCATACAGAAAGATCTTACAACTACCATGGACAGACAAAGTCACCAATGAAGAAGTACTGCGGAGGATGAACATAACTGCGGATTTGGTTAACATCGTGGGGCCGTAAGCTGTAGTACTTGGGACATCTAATGAGAAATCAAGGCAGATACGAGCTACTTCAATGCATTTTACAAGGTGAGATTGAAGGAAAAAGGGCCCCAGGACGAAGAAAATATCTGGCTTGCTAACCTGATAGCATCGTATGGAAAAGACCTCGACACAGCTGTTTCCTATAGCAACCAACGAAGTTATCATAGCCAGAATGACCGCCAAAGTTCGGAACGGACAGGCACCCTAAGAAGATTCTTCTGGATCATATATTTGCTCCATGTTACTTAGCTATTAACATTAACAACAATTCATTTACAAACTAGAATTATGGTCCACGTTAGTAGGCATGCAATTCTCCCCCTAAAAACAAGATGCATGCTTTTCTGAAGAAGACACCTGTTCCAAAGAACACCTATAAAACTGTATGACGAAGCAAAAACTGGTAGTTTTTAGGTATTTGACCAAAAACTGGAAACGTAGAAACAACATATTTCAGAAAAACAAAACGCCCGAAAATGGATTAAATGTAATGAAAACACTCTCAAATAAAAAATGGGAAACCGACAAAACCATTTATAAGTCACTATTATATATTAAGTTTTTGCATTTATACAGATGCCTCCAACTCTGCAAAAGATGTAGGAGCAAAACCTTCCTCTTACCAATTTAAATTAATGTCAGCCACCTCTATATACACATCAGAATAATATGCAATATTACAAGCCCTCATTCATATCAAAAGTGTAACATTTTTTTTATTATTAATATATCAAATTATTTTTGATTCCTTTTACCCCCGTGCGATACGCCGATGATTAGGAATCCCCGTGTTTACGATAGGAAAATATTATTGTAGACACCAAGCTGAAATGGAATTCCCTAATTAAGAAAGGTTTTTAATCCTTCCGTCTTAATACTCTGTATGAAAAGAACAAATGCTTTCCGGTATGCAGTTTCTTTTTCATAAATTGGTAATTTTCGCCGAAGGCCCGTATCTTTTGACAATAATATAATCCTAAGGATTTTAATATTCTCAGGTCCAATTGTTAATACCGATTATTTTACCTCAAACTTTCCAATAGTCGTTAAGGCCTTACCTTCTGAGAAATACATACGACTGTCCGATGATTTTAAGTGGGGGATATACCTTCTTCTTCTTTTTTCTTGGATAGTTGGTGAAATTTTTAGGGAACCAACTTACTTCTCGGTGGGCTCTTGTTGAGTGAAGTGATATCTCGTGATGCGCTTTGCTCACGATATTTCTTATCTTATCGTCGCTGTGAATTATTTTCTAAGTGTGTGTACACTTCATATTTGAGTTTTCTTTCCTTAGACTATATTAAATTATATATAGTTCTACACTACCTTTAATGGTTATTAAATTCAGTGTTTAGTACCAGAAAAGTATTAAATTCAGTGAATTAAGCTGCCTTCGTCAAGATCTACTGTAAGTAATCTTTATCTACAATTATCTGGGCGAGTAATATGGTATGGTACCATATCACCTGCCATTATCTGGACGTATCATCTATATCTTCACCTGTAGATTGCCGATTTTTGAATGTAATTGAACCATTCAAGAAATTTCTATAAATATTACCTATGAACATACAAGTCTCAGTTTTTTATTAAATAATAGTGCGAGATAGTTAATTGACTTAACCAAGTGCGGTTTGGTTTATGTTTTCATTCCTGTAACCTTTTTGTTTTTTTTTTGTAAATTTAGAGTTAAGTAATTTTTGCTATCTTTTGTATTTCCTATAATTTTTGTTCATTATCTTTCCTATGATATCTCGAGATACGCCAAACTATATTTGTATATGATTGCCTTATATATCTTGGTAAAGGTATTTTTTTATTACATTATAGCTTAATTTTATACATATATAACACCATTTCATAGTTGTGTATTTTTATTACCTGGGTTGCATTTAGCAGCATCATAATTTTGTGTTTAATATATTGTTATTGTTTTATGCATGTATTTTATTTGTCGGCTCCTAACAAGTTCCCTGATAAAATAATAGCTCTGAACAATTACTATCTTTAAATATTACTATGCTTTTGAACTGTAGAAAGATCAGGCTGATTAAGTTTCGTAGGTAAGTAAGTGTAATACTTAATATATTTATTATTTGTTTATATATTGCGTTGACCAGATTTATTTGATAATTTACTGTTGGTATCTTTCCTTGGGTTTGATCTCTGAACCTAAATATCTTTTCTTATCTCTTTTCTTTTCTAAGGTTTTCTTAATTTTCTCCTTAACCCCAAAAAATTGAGTGGCGCCCTGTTTCTATCTTCTCTTATCTTTGGTAATTTTACCCATCTATCTTTTTGTTTATTTCTGTATCTTTTCTAATATCTCTTATCCTATCTTTACCTATTTCTTCCGTTGGATCCATTCCCGGTTCCAAAAGCTAGTTTCGAACCCACGACTCGCTCTCCACCAACCATCTGGCTGCCGTCCGCAGTGTCTCCATTGATTATCTTTTTAACACCACCAAAAAAGATTTCCGAGGTTACAAAAGTACAAACCATTCTTTCTCCGTCAACAACAAATGGTTAATTATACACCAAGAACCCTATAGCCTTACTTGTCAAGGGAGAATTTGCTGCCCTATAAGAATCCGACGTCAAATTTATGTGGATTCCTTCTCACATTGGAATACAAGGTAATAAAAAAAGTAAATCTCCAAGGCAAGAGAAGCTACCAATAACAGCCGTGCCATCTTAGACTCTCGCCAGTGACATAAAATAGTTCGTCAAAGAAAAAGTGATCAAAATTGTCGGAATCTAAATTGAAAAAGATTAAATTGACAGTGAAACCGTGGCGCCTAGTAAACCTAGAAAGAGCTCACCAAGTCAAAATTTCTCGACTTCAATTAGGTTCATACCAATAGTACGCTTAAGTTGCTATTAACTAAGGAAGACATTCCAGTATGTGAATATTATCAAGTCAACATTACTGTTTAACAGCTCTTAACATGAATGTGGAAAATATACAGCGAACAGACAAAAAGACAACAAGACAAAAAGATTAAATTGACAGTGAAACCGTGGCGCCTAGTAAACCTAGAAAGAGCTCACCAAGTCAAAATTTCTCGACTTCAATTAGGTCATACCAATAGTACGCTTAAGTTGCTATTAACTAAGGAAGACATTCCAGTATGTGAATATTATCAAGTCAACATTACTGTTTAACAGCTCTTAACAGAATGTGGAAAATATACAGCGAACAGACAAAATAACAATATTTTTAGTGATAAAATAGGTGAACATATTTTTAGTGATAACAATATTTCTAGTGATAAAATAGGTGAACATTTAAATATCAAAAACGTAATAACTAACGCAGGTGCTTAAAGCGTCTATTGTTTGTGAATAAAAAAAAGTTAATTAAGTTTTAAATATTAAGAATCCAATTGTTAAAATATTAATTTAAATCTGACCATCAAATATACGAGAATGTGTATATTAATAGAAATACGCAACAATAAGTGAGTGCAATTCCTAGTAGCATATTTTAAATGCTCCCGTCTGACACATGGCAAGGGAGGAAATACCACGAAGCAATATAAAACAAAAATAGATGTTGATTGTAAATTTAAACTTATTTTATAGACCTACAGCAAATTGATAACTAACGTAACACGACATTACTTAGAACCGAAATAATAGACATTTCTTGGTCAGTAACATAAGTTGGCTGTTATATATGCCGATACGTGAGCTATTAAAATTTTAAATTTACACGTTGAAGGAGAGTAAGATGATTACTGACATACTTACAATTAGTAAGTATGCAGCTTCTGCATACTTACTAATAGAATCTGTGTTTTAGAAATAAACCTACCGTGTATTAACATTAACAACAATTATTGTCTTAAAACAACCAAAGAGTTGACGAATACAACCATGAAACGATGATACTTTTTTTGTAAGAACTAACATATTACAATTGATATGGGTTCAATAACAATTTAAAATTTACTCAAATTACATAGATCGTCAACATCACAAAATAAAAGATAATAAAATATACAATCCATTGGAAAATTTAACTAAATTGCAAATTGCATATCGTCGGTCTATTTATCAAAGGTCATAACTCCCCAAAAATCATATTTTTACATTTTCGTGTTTATAGCTACTATTAGCTGATATCTACACGTCCAGAAGAAGCCGTACCTCCGAAAAAATTATAAAACCTTTAAAACTGCAATTATCAAAAGACCTATACTGCCCTGCTAAGTAAAAACGTCCTAACTGGCAATATTAGACTTTTGAGAAAAAGCAATATTTGTAGTTAATACCGTGCCGTCATCATTTTAAAAAGCAGACTGTTGCTTTTTTGCATATAAGTAGTTAATTAGGATTAAATTTTTTTTTGGTTTACCAGCAATCACTTAAACTACCCCAAGTTTGATATTTGATAGATAGGACTTTTTAACTAAGCATTATTAATGTATTGGTTATTTAGATTTATTAATTTTTCAGATAGGACTTTTTTAGTTTAAATATGAATGACAATTAAAATTTTACTAACTGCATTTACTCATTAAATAAGTTTATTAAGAAAAAAGGCAAAACTGATACATATTGTATATTACCACAAAAGTAATTACATTAAAAAAAAAGAAAAAAATTAAATCAAATTACAAATTATCCTCAACGACGGATTCTGACACTGGCATATTTTCCCAAAACATAATCCTATTCTTAGGTAATATTGGGCGGAGCTTATTTAGCAAAGTTTGTTTTCTCTTCATGTCAATCCCTCGAGCCTTAGTATGCATATGGGGTTTGGGTATGTCTGCTTTGAAAGATTTTGCCATTAGGAAATTAAGATTTATAA